CCTTACATTTTAAAAAATTTGCTCGTTACTTTAGTTTTGAATCATTTCAATGGAGTTACCGTTATTATTTTTCACGTCATCAATACCAAATTCAATCTAATTGGATGGGAATCTACGTTGCATTTGACGCACCACTACAAGATGAATCGACAGATTCGGCGGTATTCATTGGCCGCAAATCATTGCAGCTTGGTGGCGGTGGCGTTAGCATAGTAGCATGGACGACGAGATGATTGAAAATGAACACAACGGAGATCTAGTCCTATTGGCAGACATCCATTTAAAATGTAGGCAACGGCATGAAAAAAGTGGTTTCTACTTTTACTTTTATACTTTAAGTAAATTTACAAGCCTGTACTTTGTTACTTTTACTTGAGTAAAGAAGTTTAATCAGTACTTCCACTTTTACCAGAGTATTTTTTAACACAAGTATCTGTACTTTTACTCAAGTACGGAAAGTGAGTACTTTTGCCATCTCTGCCTGCCACTGTCTCAACCCCACCTATGAACACTGATTATTACTGTGCTATATGTACATACTATTAGTATTATTTCAGATATACTTGTTTTATGATTACATTTCAATATATTTTCTGTTTTTAGATTTTAAAACAACTCTTGTTTAAAGTATTTTTTGACAACTTCGTTTTCATGTACAAGGTACTGAAATTAAGAAAGTATTTTTTTTTAGTATCATAAATACAAATTGTTTATTATTTTTAATCATAATCATGGTTGCCATCTAAGATTTTATGGGTGAAATTTAGATAGTGATAACTGTTAAATTGCCATAAAACAATGAAAATCCAAAACAGAGGAATTCTCAAATTCGCCCCCCAAAAAAATGCATCACCAGCTAACTTTGAAAATAAAGTGTTAGAAACAATTTAGAATATTGTTGAAAGAAAATGTGGTCATAATTGGTCAGATTTCAAAACGTTATTTTTTGTTGTTTTTTTTTTTTGCACGTTCCCCCGACAGGGCAAAAAGGCACGCGCTTCTAAACATAACAACTGTGAAATATGTAATATCTGCTTTTTTCATGATATCAAATTATTTTTTCCCTTCTGCTCACAGGTAATCGAGCAAGTTTGAAAATGAAAAAATATCTCAGCATAAACTAAATAAGTTTATTTTTGCTTATGTTATAATAAAGTGATAGCAACGGCTAACAAAGCCCACACTGTTCTGAAACTGAAATTAACTGTAAAATCAGTGGAACTCATTAATAGTAATTAATATGAAATTAAGACATAGAGATTTATAGGCTATAGTCATTATTTACTTTGTTTTAATTTTTTACTTGTTTTTCCAATGAACATTGTTGTCTAGTTTATCTCATTACAGATTTATTAATGGGGGAAATAATCCAATCCATGTTCGCCATATGTGAGTAATCATTAACAGCCCTCTTTTCCTGTATATTATAATTATATTTACTCATATCATTCCTTTCTTATGTTAACGTTTGTTTAATGATCTGAAACACTTGAGTCTGAAATAAATCAGAACAACATTCTTACTCTATTTCACCTTGCTTTATTCATCCCTGACATCATTCTGGTAAGATATCTTTTCTTCGCATCACTGTTAACATTTATTTTAATTGCTGCAGCCCTGAATTTTAAGCATACCAGCTATAAAAAAGCAGATTTGGCTGAATGTTTTGCTGCTTTAGAGAAAAAAATTAGAGAAAAGCCAAACTATTATTTCTATATAGTTGATAGAATAAGTTGTCGCTGTCCATGGTGATAGAATCTCCTCATTATGTTTTGGGAGGTTTCTTTTAATCCTCCCATTCCTCCCTTCCTTCAAACTCCCCAGGAGATCTTTGGCCTCTTGTCTTCCCCTTAAGGCTCCCAGGTGACTTGGTTTCATTCTAGTTGCTTGGCCCATTGAAATATTGGCACCTCGGGCTGCCACATTCCTATCCGCATTCCTCTGACCCGCTGACCTTTGATGATCCTGTCTCTGTTCCCAGTGTCCCTGCAGCTGCCACACGTCAGTAACTGCTGTCACTCCTGACAAATATAGACATCCCAGGAAGGATCTCTGCGCCACACGGCCGGTGTCTTTGAAGGGGAAGTTTCTAGGAGTCCCATGTAGCTTTCTTAGGAAGGGTTTTTGAGCCTCATTGGAAGCTACTAAGAATGATTTTAAACAGACAAGCTGAAATAATATTCTGTGCTAAATGTTTACACTTCATTACAATATTTTAAAGATAATAGAACACTCAGATACGTAGTAGCATGCTCATTTATTCTTTTAAAGGTAAGAAAATAGGTTAGTCTAAAACATAAATGTCTTTGTGTTTTATGCTCTGGACTAATCTATTGTTATGTTGTTCTGCTGGTCTGTATTAGATCTACAGTTTCTCCAAGAAGTCCTGCAAGAAAGCTGCATTGAAATTGCCCGACTATGGGATGTGAAATGATGTTTAGACTCCTCACAACTCTTTGACAGGAAATATTTTTGCTTTTTAAATCAGACCATCCATGTTAAAAAAAAAAAAAAAAAAAAAAAAAAAAACACAGCATGGGTGGTACTAGATGGGGGCCAACAGGGCCCCAGTATCTCTGTTTAATTGTTCCTGACCCCTGTTATTGACCTTTTTTCAAAAGACATGGTCCAAAACAAATTGTTTAAAAATGAATTATGATTTATGAACTGCTATATTTATTGAGGCAAAAGAGGGTTGTCAGGGCTTTACCTCTTTCTACACACTGATTACAGAAAACAGAAATCTCTGAGTGAAAGAAAAATCCCAGTACAAATTTACCAGTTAAGCCCTCTGCTCTTGTCAGCATTGCTTCACTTAATTGAGAATTGCTCTCATTAGTTTTTGCTCCAACTCTATAACTTCCACATGATTTCAACCAGTTTTAGTTTTTTTAATGGAATTTTTGTCTCACTTTCATGATTATTTACCTTTTTTTTTGGGATGCTTTAACCTCAGTGGTTTGCAAACACCGACCTAACCTATTGAACAATCTGCTAAGGCTCAGCTGATGTTTGGACTCTGACTAGACCATTGCAAATCTTTGATAGGCCTGAAAAAGAGATGGAGGAGGATTACAATAAAGCCAACCATGAAAACTCAATTTCAATTCAGTTTATTTATATAGCACCAATTCACAACACGTCATCTCAAGGCACTTTACAGTTCACCAGATCATACAGTGAAATTGATTCAAAGTTTTCAATCTAAGGAAAACCAGTTGACTGCATCGATTCATTGACTCAAATGCAATATCTCACACTAAGCATGCTTGTAGCAACAGTGGAGAGGAAAAACTCCCTTTTAACAGGAAGAAACCTCCAGCAGAACCAGGCTCAGTGTGAGCGCCCATCTGCTGAGGCTGACTGGGGTTCAAGGAGACAGAAGCAGAGATACAAAGAGCAGCTCTAAAAGGCAGCTCCGTCCAGGAAACACACAGCCAGGCAGGCGAGCTCCGAGCCAGCTCCCATGTCAGAGGATGAAGAGAGCACATCCAGTTAGTCACAGTCAGAGAAACGGGACTACACTGAAAAACAGGCCAATTAGCACAGCTGATATTTCTCTCCAGGGTGGAGTCACTGCCAAACAGGAACAGACCAGATGAAGCTACTATGAGAAAAAGCAGAGAGAGCAGAACGTTAGAGATGAAACTAGTAGATTCTGCAGAGTGGGAAAAATAGAGAAATACAGTAGAGATAGAATGAAGCAGAATGATGAAATGGGAGCCCCTATGTCCTCCAGCAGTCTAAGCCTATAGCAGCAGAACTATAGAGATAGCTCAGGATAACCTGAGCCACTCTAACTATAAGCTTTATCAAAAAGGAAAGTTTTAAGCCTACCCTTAAAAGTAGACAGGGTGTCTGCCTCACTGGAGAGGGGCCTAATCTATGAGGGTTTAATTTGTTTGGTGACCCTCAATAACCCCCCCCAAATAAAATAAAGATGTATACAGACCTTTTCAAATATTAACGTGATTCCGTTTAATTTAAGAGCGCGTTTAACTCCGATATCCAGATTGAACAGCAGGGGGCGTAGCTATTCCATTTATTAGTCAAGTTTTAAACATCAAATGTTAAACAAAGGGGCGAAAGCAGATGACTGTGGTTCTTCTGATGCTGTGTTTCAACGGTTTCAGTTAAGACGGAGACTTAAAGCAGAATATAAGGTGATCACTGAAGATTTGGCTTCAACCAACTCATTTCTGCCAAGGTTCCTTTAAGATCCAGCATCTTCACCAGGATGAGAAACGATGACGGGAAGTCGTAAAGTTGAACAGAAACAACAGGAAGAAAAGCGGAAACGCAACTGATTGACCTTTAAAATAAAGACTGGATCTGGGGTTTTGTTCCAGACTACTACTGTATATATAAGCTAAACTAAATGTATATAAACCAGATCTAATCTAACCCTATATCAAATTCTCCTTTTCTCTAAATTAGTAAAAACAAAGTTTTTTCTTGTTCAAAAATATTTGACCTGTTAGGGACTTAAAAAAAAATTAAAGACATTGTGAAAACTAAAGATATTCCCATTAAATATTTGTTAGATGTTTTAAAATGAAGAAAATCCACCATGAAAAAAAGACTAAGAATTTATTTTTGGGGGAAACAATAACTTTTATTTTTTATGTAGAATAATAGTTATGTGTGAATCTGTGGCCTTAATAATAATAATAATAATAATAATAATAATAATAATAATAATAATAATAATAATAATAATAATAATATGTACCTTCAAGCGAGATTGAATTTTATTTTTCAGTTTTTTTCGATTTCTTGTTTTTTATTTTTTTTTCTTTCATTGAAGAAAATCTGTTCCCCTAATTAAAAAAACAACAACAACACAAATGATTTGTTTGATTAGACTTTGAAACAGCTACAGCTGTTAATTCTTTTGTTTCTTTATTCTTGTGAATTGGGTGAAATATTTCCTGCCGGATGCGCAGTCCTGCGCGCTGCGTGCGGCTTGACGCAGCGGCTGATCCGAGCCGTCGCTCCAGCAGCGCAGGCAGGGAGGGGACCGATCCAGGACAGTAACCGGGCTGTACCGGGGATAACCTGCAGCCTCCATCCCTCAGATGCTCTGATGGAGTAAACCGGCCGACGATGCGCTTTTATTTCCCCCCTCCGCATCGATCATAGAAACGGTAAGACGCGCAAACAGATGTCAGAAGATGTAGCGGCGTGTTTGAACGTCCAGCTGTTTTTATGGGTGGGGGT